AGGCAACAAAACCAAAAAGAGGCAGATGGGATTACATCAAACTAAAAAGCTTTGGCATAGCAAAAGAATGAATCAACAGAGAATATTAAAGAGTTTTGATATGTATTTGCCAAGTGACCTTCAAGAAAAGTCTGGCAATCAATTCTGTCATCGTAAGTATAGGGCATATTGCACACACCATTCACAATGCAGGAGGTTGATTTGCCTTTTGACATTTTTATCATTTTTGATAAATTAAAAAAATCTCATAATTGGTTAATTTGTATAAATGTATTTAAATAATCTTTGTTAGTCTTGAATATTTATTTATAGGTTTACTTTTGGCCCCTTTTTTTTTTAAGAATGTTTTTGGTGTTGGTTAGAAAAAAACATATTCTGTGTGGTTTTGCTTTATAAAAAATTTTTAGAAAGATAAAAAATTGATTATATAATAAAATCAATGGTTATGAAAAAAGAATGTTTGCAATCTTAGGTCATTTATCTGTTGTATGGCTGACCATCTTTCTCTTGGATTACAAAAGCTCTGTACATATCAATTATATTTTTGTCCAGAGCTTACATTTTAATTAATCAATTATTATTATTTTTTTTGGTCAAAGGGTGTATGTGCTGGCCAGAGACAGAAAGATAAAGAGAAAGAGGGAGAAAGCACCCCCAGTGGGAGGTAGACATGCTGCAACCCCTTCTCTTCCATCTGTCCATCCCGTTGGGAGTTTGGGCATGCATGCACATGTGCCTGGCATGTTTTACAAACTGATGAGTCTGGGACTTGAATTGTGGTTGGCCATGTGGGATCAGCTCCCTTAACCACTAGGCCATAGGGCTGGCCCCTGCAGCTTACATTTTTATTTTTTTAAAGAGGTTTTGCCTTAGGATGCATGCACTCCCCGGAGAGAGAGAGAGAGACACAGAGACACAGAGAGACAGAGACAGAGACAGTGAGAGGGAATGTGAGAAATAACCCCCCAGGAGACATAGCCACACTGCAATCCTTCTCCATTCTCCTCCTGAGACCTTGAGCATGCATGCACACATGCCTGGCATGATTTTTTTTTTTTTAGAGAGAGATTTTTGCTATAGGGTGCATGCACTTTCTAGAGAGACAGAGACAGAGAGATAGAAAACGAGAAATCACCCTTCCCCCAGTAGGGATGGCCATGCCACAATCTTTTCTTCTCCATCCTCCTCTTGGGATCTTGAGCGTGCATGCAGATGCGCCCGGTATAAGTTTTAAGCCACTGGGTCTGGGACTTGAACCACAGTGGGAGTCCAGTGATATAACATTACACCATTTGCTGGTACCACCTGGTGTGATTTCGAAGCCCTGGGTCTAGGACCTGAACTGTAGTTGGCGTGTGGGAGTCTAGCGATGTAACCACTATACATACCATTTGCTGGCCCCAACTTTTTAAATTAAGAAAAATATTGTCTGATATAGAAGAAGATTTAAACTGTGAGTCAGAAAACTATTTCATTTGGGGAGTTTTGCATCAAACTAGCCTGTGTCTGGAGGCCAGTGGATTCTCTGTCCCTTTCTTTTCTCATCTGTATGAGGAGGTTGAACTTGATGTGCCCTGAGGTTCCTTTCAGCTCTGCTACCATCTAGAGTTGGCACAGTCTCTCCCAAGTGGTAGTGTCTTGTGAGATTTTGAACACTGAAGGTTTAATTTCAGTGTAGCAGTGAAATGTTACTGCCCCCACCTTCCTTTGAAAGGTTTTGCAATTTATGCTTGAAGCGATCCCTATAATGTGAGCCATTTTTACGGAAACTTAATGAAGGGTAACAGCCACTCAGATGCTTAACCTGTCCTGACTGGTGATTTCTAGGTATCAGTAACAGGGCCAGCTGTGTGTATGCATGGATTGGTCTGAGATTTCAAGAGAAGGAAAGGAGGGGTAGATAAGAAGCACTTTAATCCGCAACCCTGGAATTAGAGTGGGAGTTTGATAATACTTGCTGCAGATAGGCTGGGGCTGTTTGTTTATTTTTATAGTTCTGTAAAGTGGACTTTCCATGTTGAACAAAACTTAAAGGGAAAGTAGAGGCGCTGTGTTCTGTAGGTGCTAATTATTTTACTGTATAACAGAAGGTGAATTGTAATTACAGGATTGGTTTTTTTCTTTGGAGAGGTTTTTGCTATAGGGCGTGTGCACTCGCCAGACAGACAGAGAGAGACAGAGAGATAGAAAGTGAGAAATCACCCCCCAGAGGGGATGGCCACACTGCAATCCCTTCTCCTCCATTCTCCTCTAGGGATCTTGGGCACGCACGCATATGCGCCTGTCGACTGCGTGGGAGTCCAGCAACATAGCCATTATGCTAACTGCTGGTCCCATCTACTAGAATATTCTATGAAATTTAAAAGCTTAGCCCTACTGCTTAAAAAAAAAAGTTTCTGTGTTTCTATTACAGTAACTAAAAAAAGAGAAAGAAAGAAAGAAAGAAAGAAAGAAAGAAAGAGAAAGAAAGAAAGAGAAAGAAAGAAAGAGAAAGAAAGAAAGAAAGAAAGATAGATGGCTGGGTTTCATAAAAATTACTCCATGGGTCACTTTGCTGAAGGACAATTCTTACTCTAATAGAAAATAAGCAGTCTGGTCAGTCATGGTGACACCTGCTGGACACCACCATGAGAGGCTCAAGTTTGATGCACAGATTCAATTTTCAGCCCTCTCTATAGACCACACATCATAGGCATGCCTTCCATCATAGCTACTGGGAGTCTGAAGCAGGAGTATCCTGACACAGTGAGGCCCTGTCTAAAAAATCAATCACATACAAGGGAAGGGAAAAGAAGGGGTAAAAAGAAAAGGAAGGGAAGGGAAGGGAAGGGAAGGGAGAGGAATGGTATGGCAGAGC